ACCAGCAAACAGCGACGAAAAAGACGAAAAGGTCGGGAGAAAACCCAAAATAAGTGGTGGGCGTTGGAGTCCTCTGTTATGCAGCCAGTAAGCGTCCCCCCCCCCCCTCTTTCCTCCGTGTTTTGACGGCCACGTGTAGCCGTGTGGCGCGGCGCTTGCCGGAAGCGGCTGGACCGAGCCGCGCGCAATGGACTGAATCAAGCACCCCCCCCCCTCCCACCAGCCGGTCCAGTGAAAGAGACGCGGGGCCGGGCGGGGCCGGCCGCGCGCAATGGACTGAATCAAGCACCCCCCCCCCTCCTCCCTCCTGTCCCCCCTCACAGAATAGGCTGCTGTTATCGTCCATTTACCACCAAAGCCACGCGCTGTTGTAAATCCTTATTTGGTGCCAAAAGATATGACCACTGGAAACCCTTGATTAAGGTTTCATCAATCGGGTTTCGTGCTCGGCGCCAATCGGTTTCGGGTTAGGAAGGGGATGGGGAAAGGAGAGGCGTGTGCTACGATGAAACCCACGATGAACGTTGCCCGAGGTGACGCAGTAAGCTGTCATGTCTCGTGGATAGGTTGAACAGAACTCGGGCGCGGGCTTTTGAATGCATGTTTTAGGAAAGTCAGAAAGAGGCTTCAAGTTCACGTGAGAGACGATTTGTGCTGGACGAGTCGGTACACTGTTCGATTCTGGCAAAGCAATGCTCTGCAGAACTGCGAAGTATTTAGATCCTTTGTAAGTACGAAGCATTTACTTTGCAATTACAAAGTGATGCTTTGCAATTACAAAGCGACGCTTTACAATTGCTAAGCGATGCTTTGCTGCGTTTTTGTTTGCTTCGCAATAGCAAAGCATCACTTTAATTGCAAAGTAAATGTTTCGTAGTTACGAAGGATTTAAATACTTTGCAGTTATGCAAAGCATTGCTTTGTAGGAGTTCGACAGTGTACCCCATCTTTGCCCCCTTTATTTCTTCACTTGTTGTCTCCTTCATGCCTCTGCTCTGAGTATTCGACAGAATTCCCTACGACGGCTGTCTGTCTGTAGGTAAAGTCTGAACGAGGAAAAAGGGAGGTCCCCACCCCAGTCCTGTCTCTCTGCGCTCCACGCCGTGCCGTAGGGTAGGAGCGGTTGACAGATCGCAGAGCACTCATGCACAGAGTCGCAAGGTGGGCGTTGAGGCGTTGAGGGGCGGGTGGGACCCACGGCGCCTGCCGGTGCCGACGGCATTTTGCTGCTCAGACAAGCTGTGTAGGACATACAACCTCTCTGCTGACAAGTCGCTTGTTCTTGAGTGTGTCGCGGACCACGCGCTGATGCGCCGATCAACGACAGGTGGGCGGGGGGAAGGACATATCGTCCGAACAGTGGGGTGGAGTTAATGGGGCTGCGATCGGCACCAAGTTGAATTAAACGCCTCTCAATAGGATCTCCATTACACTCCAGCAACGCGTCGTGACATTTCGTAAAAGAATAAAAAAAAGGAAGAAGTCGAAAGTTTCCCCGACGACGTGATTGGGGAATGATGAAGACACGTGGGTCCGACGGGGTGGATATAAATCACGGGAACGAAGCCGGCCAGCAGCAGGCGCGTTAGAGGGAGACAGAGAGACTTGCAAGCGTTTCACTCGGTAGCTGTGCACTGTGCACTTGCAAAGTGTGCCACTCCTCGGTTGAACTCCTCCCTAGATTGGACGCTCACTGTGTGGAAAGTGCTCAACACGAGGAGTTGCAGACTTTGCTAGTGCACAGCAGCTACCGATGTACACATTTGCAAGTGTACTTCTACAAAGTTGAACCCTTGCAAGTTGAAGACTTGCAACGTTTTTCTCCAACAATGAGGATCATGACTATACTTTTTCGTTCTATGTCGTTTTTATAGAATTCAAGATTGAAACATCGGTTATTTGTAAAACAATGTCAAAGATAACCACGACGTCTTCCTTAAAAAATTCCGTTGTATAATGTGAGAACGGCGAACTTTGCCAAATTATGCGTGAGATGGTTACATAGTTGGTATTGGTCCGGTAGTGAAGCGGGGGACAGGGAGTTTGAAACAAAGCTTTGCACTGCTTCTGAAATTCGAAGCAACTTGGGACTCTTGTCTCTGCCTTCCTCTCAGTCTTACGTGTCCCCGCCCCTCCTGCTCCGTTATGGAGACAGTCACACAGTCGCGGGCCCAACCCGTTCGCTCCAGCCAGAGGCTCCAACCTGATCCTACTTACCCAACTCGCGGCCGCGCCGGCGCCGTCAGCCCGCTCGCCCCCCGGTCCCACGGCCGCCATCAAATTGATTCAAAGCGGGGGCGAAAGTCACCGAAGGGGATCGTGTTAAAAGTATCCCAGCAGCTGACGAATTTCCGCGACCCTCGTATAACAAACTTTGACTCGTTTAACATTTCGATTCATTTAAACAAAATGAAGATTTTTTTTTTTTTTTGCTGCATTTTGAATGTAATTAGTTGGTGCGTAAACAGCCCATACCGACCCGTGGCTCTAATGTAATTGGCTGTGTCTCTGTTGATTTCGCAATTGCTCCACGCCCCATTTCTAAAGCGACGAGACACGGGTCGGGCCGTGCCGTACGCCGGACTACTGACCATGTCCAATATGCAGGTCCAAATGCTAGGTACAATGTCCATCCACTCCACGTGGTGCTCAATATTTGACGCGGCTGCCCGGGAGACCCCCGTCTCCTGCGGGCGAGCGGCCTGTGAAAGCTGCACGCCCGGACACATCCCGTGTCTGCACACGGCGCTGTAACACGGTGCCATAGCGGCGCGGGGCGGGGCAGCAACCCCTCGCGTCGGGGATCTGCTTCTTGGCGAGTCGATCGGTTTTACATTATTTACCCAAGGCGTGGCTGCTCGAGATCGCCATATCTTGTAGCTGCTCTCCCCCACTCTCCTCTTCTTGAAGAAACTCTCACTGGTCGTCCGCTTGCCCCCCCCCCCTCTCTTCGTTTTCCACTCTCTCTTTTCACCCCCTCGGTTCACTCCTTCCCAACACGAGCCTTCTGTCCGCCGAGCCATTGCCGAGGCTGTGTACACCTTACTCCTCCGTCCCTGCCCGCCCACATCCTCCCCTGTACCCGGCCCCCGATCATCCTCCCCCATCCCCTCCTCGTAGTCGTCCCCGCCCCTCCCCATGGTCTACCTCCCTCCGGACGCTGTATTTGGAACGGAAACAAAAACGTCAACGTTTGAGGATACACATTGATTTTGGAAACATCGTTTTTATTATCACCTCAAAATCGGCAAAACAAAATACGTGTCCAATACACAATGTGCTGTTTTTGTCACTGTGTCGGCAACACACATCACTGTTCTTCGGCAGTGAGAGGGGTTCCGGAAACACGATCTAAAAAATCGTGTCAGCTTTGCAGAGTTTGACTCGTATTGTGTTGCGATTCTCCGAGGTGACAGATGGACGTTTCCAACACATTTGTCGCCTGCATATACTCGTTACGTTTCGCGCTGCAGTGTGGGATATGTCGTCCCCGCGGCACTGGTTAAGAGCCTGCCCAGCCCAGGTAGGAGTGCGGCAGGCGAGCAGAGGCCGCCGGCGCGACGTTTCATCTCGCCGAGTGAAATATGAAAATGCGTTGGCCTCTGAACGAGCGATAAATCCTGCCCGGCCCGGGCAGGGAGGGCTAGCCCGGAGAAGTCCCGGCCGAGGGGGTGGTTGGCCTGCTACACCTCCACTCCAGGATAATCGGGAGGCCCTTCGTCCCCGTGGAGGGAAAGAAACGGTGCTCTTATGATGTTACTGTTACAGATGCGAGTCTTGACGGAGAACAGGCAGGGCGTGCTCGCCTACCTGGGCATACCGTACGCCGAGCCACCCATCGGCGAGCTTCGTTTCTCGGTAAGTAAGTTCTCGACCACGAAATGTGACAGTTTTAAGCACACAGCCCGCACCTTCTTCACTGGTCTTTCTGTTACCTGTGATCACCATATAACCAACCACCGGTCGATACCGATAGTTTAGCGCCATTGTCGTCGTGCAGAAGAAGAACGCGGAATTATCTCGGGAAAATGAACAAGGGGAGAGGAGGAGCAAGCAGCACCCCTGCAGGGCCGGGACCAGGGGGTCTCCCCGCGGCGAGGCTCGGCCCGGCGGCGCGGCGGGGGATCACGGAGGAGTACAAGTTGGGGCTGTTTCTAGTAAGCACGTACCGGTAGCTCCACGACCTTGGGGTGGGGG